CCCAACAAATCGTCCGATGCCGACCCTCAGAGTGTAGGGGTCGACCTTGTAGCTGAAAGCTCCTCCTCCAACTCCAACCATATCACCCCCCACGCCCCTGCCCACGCCCTTCAATTTCAATTTCACCAACTACCAACTGAATATACCTATCGGCCTCCTCCGAGTCCATAAGGGGCATCGAAGCCTCTCTCTTTCCCGCCTGGTCTCCCGCGTATCCTCTCGTTCAGAGTGTTGAGACAGTAATAATAGTAGAAGCGGACGAGCCGAATCTTTTTGGAGAAGACCATGGGAACACAAATATCGAGAGAGAATTTTAGCATTAAGGGCGTGGGCAGGGGCGTTTCGAATGGGTTTGAGTGCCATTTCGAATGTTTATTTTGTTTGTCAAAAAATAAAATAAAAAACAAAATAAACTTAAGGGTTCATTTAGAATGTAAAATGACTCTTTATCTTTTTAATTTTTTAATTTTTTTTTAGTTATTTTAGTCATAAAATGAATTACCTCCCATGAGATTTCTAATTGTCCTATGATTTTTAAAATCATATTGATTTTTCTTTTTTTGGCATTGTCAATATTTAACCTTCAGTTAATTTAATTCAAACCGTATTAATTTGATTGTATAAATAATCATAATACCCTTTAAATACACTGCATAACTTCAAGGGAATTAAGTATAATTTACCTATATATTAAATTATCATTTTATTTCTCACAATTTATTGTGTTTCCTTAACTTTCTACTTTTTTTTCGCTATAAGTTTTTGAACTTTATAAGTTTAAAAAAAAAATAACCATTAATAAAAGTAGAAAAGAATATTCATATTTCTTGCTTGAATTAATTTTAATATTTTAATAAAAACAATTTAAATGAGAAACAAAAATGGAGATATAGATTGTAGATATAATAAATAAATAACAAATTATTTGAATATTTTATTATTTTCAAATAATTTCTTTTTTCAAGTAAAATTTCATTTTAATTAGATGTAAGAAATGACAAATTCAAATAGTTTATTATCAATTTGTCACGAAAATTTTTTATTAAGGTCAATAGCACAACAATCTTTTGTAGACAACCTATACGCCTAACTTGAACTATATTTATTGAGTTTGGGCAGACTTGCGCAAAACACCTTAGGTTGGCAAGTTGAGCTTGGACAAATATGGACAATTCCAAGCACTACTCGGACTAGACTTGGGCAAGTCTCGAGCCTGATCGAACCTACTTGACTTACATCTTATTTTTGGCCACTCCGATGATGGAATTCTGGTTCCGTCTCTATTTATATAGGACACTAGTGTTGGTTGATTGCCTCGTTGCAGCTGGGCATTTTGCCAAAGTGAAGATTTGTTAGATTATTGGCTTAATGTCCAATCTCAATAGGATTTGAATTTGATATTTTTATTTCATTATTGGAATAGGATTTGTGGGTAGTCAAACATTTTGGTTTTGACTCCCATATTTATTTAGATTTATGAGAAAATTATTTGACTTGGTTTGGATTTCATAAAGTTTTGGATTTAGTGTTTTCTAGTTGGTTATGGATTATATTGGAAAGAAATCTATTTTGTTTTAGAAGGATTCTTTGGCTATAAATAGGTGGAGTCTCTCATTAATTCGGTTGAACTTTTCAATTCTATTGGTAGAACTTGTTAATTGATGAGAGATTGAGATAAATTGATATTAATTTTCATGAGACTTATGTAGAGAGGATTTGGGTTTGATGAGAAAACTTATATTTTGAGTTTGGTGAGCTTAGTTATTTGTGAGATATTGCTTTAGTGAAATCCTTCTCTTTGCTAGCGGAATCCTTCTTTTTGTGATTATTCATGGACGTACGCTTAAGTTGAACCACGTAAATCTTTATGCCTTGTTAGTTTGTTGTTGTTTCTCTCTTTTGAATTTGCATGGTTCTTCTGCTCCACATTCGAAGCCATCAAATAATTCGTGTGCTCGAGCTTTTCTCGAGATTCTCTGTACAACTAGTGAACAAGTTTTGAGCTAAAAAAATGACGTGGGACTTGTAAAAACAAATTAGGATAAAATCAAAAAGAAAGAAAAAAAAATGTCACCATGGCCAAACCAGCTCACAGAGCTAGTCCGACATTTCTTCGTTTGAAAAGTTTGATAGTTGGCCGATCTAACTACCTCTTGATGATTCACACCATCTTGTGATTTCTTGCAAACACTAAGCGATTTCTAGGATTCCAAAACGAATTTTTGGGCATGGGCTACCCAACTTTTTTTGAAAATTATTTAATTTAGTAATAAAATAAGCCCAGATTAAAATAAAAAAGCTCAGTCCAATCTTGAAGTGTAGATTTTAAAAAAAGGCCATTTTGCATTTGCTTGTAAAAAATTGACGAGTGATAAGGAAACAACTATCAAACCTTTGTTTTAAATCAAATTTTGACAAATTTCATATTACTGGAAAGCTTTTTGAAAATTATACAAACTAGCATTGGTCAAATTTAGAAATCAAAAAGAAATTCACATATCATATAAGGTAAAACCTCTTTCCAAGATTGCAAGAGGTAAGGGGAGAATTAAAGAAATTGAACCCCAAGCAATCCAATATGGCTCAAATAGGTCTAGAATTGGTTGGCTAGGGTGTTTAGCTAGGCAAAATTCAATCCTAGTGCATTCGATTCCTGGTGAAAGTTGACGAATCAAAAGTTCCGAAACATCTCTTGAGTTTCATCATCAGGTAGCATTCCCAAAGTGAGGTCAAGCGCAACACCTAGTCAAAATGCTTGGCAATGTTGTTTATCAACTAAAATCGCTGGATAGGTTTTATGTCAATTTTCTAAAACCATTCCATGAGGATATGATGAACATGCAAGGAAGCAAGTGCATTGAGCCCTCTTGTGATTCAAAAGCAATTTGATATGAAGGTCAAAAGAATTTTAGATCACAAGACAAAGGGACAGAGCAATGCAAGAAAGATTGAACGACTCATTAACTAGTGAAATGGAAGGGCTCTCCTTAGTCAAAAGTTGGCTGGGAAAAAGATGTCACATTGTGACAATTTGGAAAAAGCAGATCGAGGAGTATTTACAAACCCTATCACCTAGGACATCGAGTTTTTCCGATATGGATGGTTTGCTAGCACCCTAAGCTTTAGGGATACATGATTGCATGTAGTGGCACCTCGCACTTATGTCAACCTAATCGAGGCATGCCAAGACAACAAGGTGAGATAGAATAATATGGCATTGACACTAGACCCACGGACAAGCAATACTTATTGCAACAGATGCAAGGCATAAAGTTGTATTTGACCTAAATGCTCAACAATAGTGTGGCTTATGAGTGAAATACAATCGGTAGACTTGGCTTGGCTTAGTAATTAAAGAAAGGTAAATTCGTGAGTAGCTTGCCCCGGTTTGACAACAGGGATGGACATTATTCGGGCCAAGATAGACTCGTGTTAGGCTTGCGTTACTTATTATGGGACTTCATGTTTACCCAAATTTGGTCCAGCCCAGCCCAAACATCACACCTATTGTTGGTCCCAAGCCTAGCCCTATAAAAAATGCAATTCCCAAGGCTGCCCACTTTAGCCCATATATGTGGAGGGTTTTTTTTTTTCACCCTCTAAGAAAAGAAAAGAAAAGAAAAGAAAAGAAAAAAAAGCGCATACATGCATTACTTACCTAAACAATAGTGTAACAATTATTCATTCTTTTCTAGGCAACATTGTAACAACATTCATAAGAAAAATATGGTGTTAAGGAAAGATTTAAAAAAAAAACAGCAGTAGGACTATCACAACTAACACTCACAGTTGAAAGAAGACAAACATACCACAAGTTCTCTTCGAGACAATTTGTTCATTTGAATAACTATGCTACAAGCAAACTAAGGAAGACAAACAAATATAAAGGGTATGTTTAGTTTGTATTTGGGAGATATGTTTTAGAGATAAAAAGTACGAAAAGTTGTTTGGTTTGGTTTTTTTCAAAAAATGTTTTGAAAAATTATTTTGAGAGAGAGTTTTGGAAAAGTGATTGATTTGATGTGTGTGAGAGAGAGATTTGTTTGGAAAACTTATTTGGTTTACAAGTTTTGAGAAATTTTTTTAGAAAAATTTGTTTGGTTTGATTACTTTTAAAAACTTATTTGTAGAGAAAATTTTCCAAAATTTTATCAGAAATACAAACCAAAAAGCTCACCCGTTTTCAAAAATTAAAAAACAATAACATTAAAATATTTGCAAAATTAATTTTAGATGGTCAAATTAGGCCCCATTATAGACCAGGCTCAGGCTACATGTCTCCAGTGCAAGCTTGGCCCCGGCTATCCACGATGAGTAGTCAAACAAAACTGTGTTCAACTTATTTCAGGATCAAGATTTGACATAACTCAATTGATTCTAAATCAAAGCCCAGTTCTAATTTAGTGAGCTGAACAGTGTGAGAGACGGTCACGGGCAGGTTTGTCGTAATCCACCCCCATTTCATATAGAGTGTGAGTCAAATCAGGGGTGATGATAGCGGGACAAAAGACGAGTTAATTTTATAAGAAAAAAATTAAAATATTGATAAAAATAATAAATAATATAATATATTACGAATAATAATTTATACTAAATAAAAATTACAACATATAAGATAGCAAATAAATGAGTAAAATTTAATATTAAGTATAATATTTTAGTTTTTTAATGTTATTATAGTGAAAAAAAATTAAATTATATATATATATATATATATATTATATACATGTAAATATATTTAATAATATAAGCGGAGTGAGAATCCTATAGAATGGGGCAGAACAAGTAAAACCCATCCCCGCCCCCACTTCCTTAATAGGATGCGGAAAACCCCACTTCCTTAATGGGACGCGGACAGAACAAATGCAGAAGAAATAAGAAAGGAATTGAGAAACCCAAAATTTACGAGGGACCAAGTCTATTACACTCACCTTTTAGACAAAGAAAGCAGAGCATGTGCCTATTCTATATTCATGTCAAGAATAAATAGAAAAGGAGCCTAAAGAAATTCTCTTTTTTCCTTGCATTCCATGAAATCTCTTACCACAGTACTCAAATTTTAGACAAGAAAATCATAGCAACAACTTGGGCGTTGGAATCCCAATAAGCAAATCATCAATTCCACAAAACCAGTAGGATAATGGCATCAAATTGCATTCCAAGGGAGTGTAACAATTTACCAAAAACAATCACTTGTAGGGAAGAGAGAAGGGTGTGTGTGTGTGTGTGTGTTGTGTGTAGAAGAGCTGGGGATGGATAGGGAGAGATTGCATAACAGAGGACTGCAGTGCCTTTATTATAAGCCGGATTGGAATATGGAGCCACCAGACTGGTATCATCCAGTCAACATGTCAAACCTTTGTCAACAATCAATAATCATCACCTCTTGAAATGACCTCTTTGCAAGTTGGTCGGAGTAATATGGTATGCTCAAACTGAGATACATAGCTGCCTTTGATGTCGCAAAGAGGAGGATAAGGCTGCCAAAAATAAGTGAAAAAGACTTCTTTATATGTTCAATTCGTATAAAGATAACACGGCAAAAATATAAACATGTCAAGAAGGTCAAACAGAGGAAGGTAACACTGCCACAAATAAATGAGTAAGTAAAGTTTCTTCTTTTTAAGCTCAAATAGTATATTTAACACAACAATAGATTAACATGTTAAAATGGTTCAAACCTACACCATTCTAAAATTAAGACATCAACTCAAGGACATTAATTACAACGATTTGTGGTCCATTGACATCAAGAAGTTGTTGGGGTCCTACCTACCTGTGATTCTATTCTCATCTAGAAGAATTTGTTTGTACATATCTTTAGTTTTACATATCAAAAAGAAAAACATAAAATAAAGATATTAAAGATAATCATCAGTTCATGGCTGCCTTGCATAAATGATACGAGGATAAACTACATTTGGCAAACACATCCTCTTCATGGTAAGGTAGGTTGGAGTCCCAAATCCAGAAATGTATGAGGTTCCAACTCCAAACCGAGTCCCCACCCATACACATGGAGAGGCAGATGTACGACAAAAGAAAAAGCATATAAAAAAGGGTAATTTGCACTTTGTCCCCTTTATGTTTGGCCATTTTCCCACTTTGACCCTTGGGTTGTGTTTGGTCCACGGATTTGAAGAGGGAAAGGGAAAGGGAAAAGGTAGGTCTCCAAATCCCTCCCTAAATCCATGAACTAAACACAGCCTTAAAGTGTTTTCCCCCCCATTTTGGCCCTTCATGTTTCAAATTTTTCTCAATTTACTCCAAATGCTAACTTGCGTCCAAAATTTGACAAAAAATGACACATTGACAACCAGATGGCATAAAAATATTTTAGGGTAAATTACACTCACCTCCCTTGAGGTTTGAAGAAAATACAGTCAGCCTCACGCTTTGGCATAATTACACTAACCTCCCTTTTAGTATGATTAAAGTAACTGAAACTAATGCCAATGGGCCAATGGTAGCTAGACGTTGAAATAAACAAAGAAAAATACCCATTTTAGTAGGAAAGAGATGATAACATCATTTTTTTCATTCATAAGACTAATGAATTACTGATAAAAAAGGGCTCAAGTGTTATGTAAATTAAAACCTTGAAGGAGGTCAATGTAATTATGCCAAAAATGTGGAGCTAACCGTATTTTCTTCAAACCTGAAAGGAGGTGAGTGTAATTTACTCAATACTTTATTATTTATAACTCATATATCTGACACAAACCCAAAGCCCAATATAATAATATATTTTTGTCATGTGGCAACTAACATGATATTTTTTGTCTAATTTTGAACATGAGTTAAACTTTAGATGTAAATTGGGAATAACTTAAAACATAAAGGGCCAAAGTGGGAAAAAAACTTCAAGGGCCAAAGTGAGAAAATAGCCAAACATAAAGGGAACAAAGTGTAACTTACCCGATAAAAAATTTAAAATTCTGTAATAAATAAATCATTCAGTAAAAGCAAGATACAAAAAATTCAATAGGAAGCAAGGAGAAGTACAAAATTAGCATAGGCACAAACAACTCAGCCATCATTAATCAAAATAAGCATTTAACGAGACCTTGAAAGATGAGAGCTCTCTTGATTTTTGTCACGCCTTGTAAAACTTTTTTGAGTACATCAAAAAATGTTAGGACTTTAAGGTAGCGTTTGGCAATGCTTTTCAAAGTCCTTTAAAAAAAAATTCATGTTTGGTGAAATTGACTTCGTGCCATGTTTGAAACCCATTCTAGTGATTTTTGTTAATGCCCCATACTATATGGGGGCTTCTAATTACACGGTTACACCACATAAATATCTCTTTATAGTTACATGTACAAGCCTTACTTCATAGAGTACATACAGGTGTTACAATGCACAGCAGGGGTGTAATAAGAAATTTACTGGGTGTAAATAGAATCTCCGATACTATATCCTTATTGTCTGTAACAAACTACCCATAAATGCCCTTCTATCTTATAACATTTACAAAGCCTAACCTATAAATAGAAAAATTATTTGTATCATTAGGATATTTGCATCTGTGTCTCTGCGGCTTTGCAAGCAGTGGCCAAGGCCAGAGATGTTGAAGGGAGCAGTCGTGGCAACCCCAAAAACTTCATCAAGTGTTTAATATCTAGAATAAGGGTCAAATGTTATAATCCATTAGTTCGGCGTCATTGACTTGCTTTGTAGAACAAGACAATCATGCAAGAATCATACCCAAGTTTGCTATCAATGTCTAGAAAATCTATGAACTCAAAAAAACAAATCAAACCAAGGTGAGTCATTTTAAGCCATTTTGCTTTGTCAATGGCTATATGCTCATTTTAATTAAATAAATTCGTATCCTTTTTCACCACCACATCCCATGTTAATTTAGGTCATCCTCCCCTAATATATTTATCTATGGAGATCATATTACTCTTCAATACAGTTACAATTATACATGACCAAACCATCTTAAACTCCTCTCTCGCCTAATCTTCAATTGGTGTTACTCCCACCATTTCACGAATATATTCATTTCTTATTCTATCTTTCCTACTGCCACCACACATCTACCTAAGGCTTCTCGTCTCAGCTACACTCGTTTTATGAATGTGTTGTTTCTTAGTTGCCCAACATTCTGTCCCATAAAATATTGCTAGCCTTATAACTATTTCCTAAAATTTTTCCTTTCAATTTTGTTGATATGTGAGACACACTCCTCCACTTAGCCAAATTACCATGATTCTATTATTCAAATCATCTCTAACTTCACTGTTCTTATTAATAATTGAACATAGGTAACAAAAATGTTCACTTTTTGTTATCTCCTACTTTTCAATCTTCACTTCATTATTTCCACTTCTCATTAAACCCTAATTTCAAACAAGACAAGACATCATAAAAACTTTTTGTTGCTCAAGCCTGGAACCACCTCATCAAATTTTCCCCATATCACATGCATGAACCGTCTCAAACCAAAAAGGCCTATGATGTAGGAAGGAATTAAAATACTTGGAATAGGGCCCATGTCCAGCAAATCTAGAAATTACGACCTAAACTACACACATAAAGCCTAATAAAACAAAAGTAAATATGTCTTAGCAGCATACTACCCATAGAAGAAATGAAAATAAGACAAATGAAGCTTGGACATAAAGAGTCAAAAGCCCATGCATGCTCCATGTAGAATTCTTTTTCCTTGTAGCCCCATCATCTCTTCTTTTTTCCTTTTTTTTAAACAGCCACCCCCTCCTTCGTCTACCACCAGACTACAAATTAAACTGCAAACTCATTTACTATGATCTTGTAGAAAGCCAGTCTTGCATGGTAAGATATAAGTAATCAGTTGTCTGATTTATATCTTACAAGAAAAGAAGCAAAAAACTATCATAGAATGAATATAAAACCCCACTTTGACCAGTCACCACAACCTCCCAACAATATTAACAAATAGAGCAAATCTTAGTTGCACGAAGCGGGAGCGGGAGCGGGAGCGGGAAGCGTGGCCATGTAAAGGAGTCGTAATTTGGGAGCGTTTATATATTATTTTTATTGAAATATTTTTAATTTATCTATATAAAGATTTTTTTTAAAAAAATTACACTCAATCTTATGTTAGGGCGTTAATGTTAAGTTACCAATTTTCCTAAAAGCCTAAGCTCTTAGGAAATGAGTCCAACAATGTATATCGAGATATCTAATACTCTCCTTCACGGGCAATTTTGTCTTGCAATTAGTTGCACGAAGCGGGAGCGGGAGCGTGGAATCGTGACCCCTAAGAGAGTCGTAGGTTGGGAGCGTTTATATATATTATATAAAAAATATGTATATATTTTAAATAATATATATAAATATATTGTGAGATATAATTTTTTTTTCTCCAATTAATATTTGAAATATATTATAACTATCATAACTTGTTATAAATTATATTTTATTTTGTGTTTTTACTTAGAATTAAAATCTATTTATTTTGTGGATATAAAAATTAATATTAACTTAATATATATATATAACCCATTACATTTATTTATATTTATAAAGGTAAAATAAATAAATAGAAAATATATTAGAATAATTATAAATACATTTAATATTTGAATAAAATATAAAATATAAAATAAAATAAAATAAACAAAAACAAGAGAGAAGAGAGGCTCAGACAGAGGCGAGACAGAGAGTGAAGAGGAGGAGGCGATCGATCGATCGATCGAGAGGAGGACGAGACGAGATCGAGGGAGAGAGGGGACGAGACGAGATCGATCGATCTAGAGAAGACGAGTCATGAGATCGAGATCGAGAGAAGAGGGAGGGACAGACCGATCGAGAGGAAGAGAAGACGACAGATCCGCGATCAGATTCGCGTTTCTCTATCATCAAACTCGCGATTCTTCTGCGAATCTGAGTCAGAAGCGCAGAATCGCGCTTTTGAGGAAGAATCGTGAGCAAGTTGAACGATTCCTGCTACTAAGGAGCAAATACAACTGATGAAGCACACACCCTGTTGATATAATCTATTTAAAAAAAATTATTGCACAACATATAATGGCGACAAAGGTGCAATTTTAGTCAATTGATAAAGTCTTTAACTCAATACCTGAACAATAAGCTATTTGTAATTTCAATCATATAATAAGCTAAAGGCATACCTGAACAATACCAGCATCAGACAAATTCTTTAATGCCATTAGATATTTTGTCTCCCCAAGGCGGTCTAAATAACGTCTGCAAAAGGCCAATGTTGAGAAGTTCTTGTTAATTGTTGCTAGCAGTTGCTTTGCTCTGGGTAACCGAAGTGGAATATGGCCGGCATCAAAATTCTTCATGTAATGGCTACACTCCAGATCTTCTCTTACATATCCCTTACCTGGAAAGTTAACAAATGGTTAGCATATTGTCCATCACATTTTGCTTACTCTATGAAGCATGAACTCTGTTGGATCAAATATAAATTCTCCCCGGCCAAATGAAAAACATTACCTGTCGATGCAAAAGTTTCAATTGCAAAAAATTCACCCTCTTCCATTTTTGTCTGTTCACCTCCTTTCACTATGGGAACAGATTTTCCAGCATGGATTTGATAGCACCCAATGCTATGCCCGTTCAAGTTTCGTATACTTTTGACTTCCAGAACAGCCAAAATTTCACAGAGGTCAGTAGAGGGTATATGTGCAAATTGAAGAAAATGAGGAAAAAACGAGAATTCAGAGTCATAGATATCCACAGAATGGTACAAAATGAGTACTGCTTAAATACTTGCAATTAAACATAAGAAAATGCAAATATATATATATATATATATATTATGCAACAGTGCCAACTCCAAAGTTATAGCGTACTTAGCCTTAATCCTTGATAAACTTCATTACCTTGGGCATCTGTTTCCCCCCTTTTAAAGGGGTTCTGTTCTTTTTTATTTTTAAAATATTGGAAAGTAGTTTGTGATGTATAGGAGCTCTTTCGGGGTTTGCTTAGTGTAATGGCTGTTGGCCTTGAAATGGACAACTTGTCCCCTTCTTGCTTTCTTTTTATTTATTAATAAATTTCCTTTTGTTGTTGATTAAAATAAAATAAAAAAAGTCAAACGAAAACTAATCAAAATAGGAAACCAAATCCTAATAGAATAGAAAAAACCAATATTAATAAAACACCTAACCAAAATAAAACTCTTAATTAAACTAGGGCTAATTACATAGACCTCCCCTAAAGTTTCTGACAATTACAGATACCTCCCTTGTAATTTCTGAAATTACACTGCTCTCCTTTGTTGGAATTGTCGGATAACGCCCATTGATAGAAATAGTAAGTTTACATTATTACCAAGTACTTTAAACTATAGCTAAACAACCTCAATTCAAAATATCCCATCCTACTACTTATCTTTGCAACCAAACATAGTCATCCCTTCCATTTTCCCTTCCACTCTCTAAAACCATCTTCACACAAAGACGCTATGGTTGCCTAAATAAACCATCACCATTGTCACAGCACAATTGCCACCACATGACACACACACACACACATATCTTCTCTCTCTTACATATCTATCTATCTATTTTTGTTATAAAGTGAATCTGTACTTACTACAAAGTCAAGGATGTTCATGGTGTCTACGTCTCATATTTTGGATTTTCCAAAAATGCCCCAATAAAAATTATTTATAACACAATTATATAGTGAGGTGAGTGGGGCTTGAACCCAAGACATACGGTTTGGGAAACAACATCTTTACCACTTGAGTAGTACACAACATATATACTTTTAAATCAAAATTTATATTTTACAAATTTAACAGCACACCCATCGGGACACTCATTAGAACATATATAGATATCTATACTATTATAAAGTGAAGGCTTCTCATGATGTCTACGTCTCATATTTTGGGAAACATCTTTACCACTTGAACAACACACAACACTTGAACAACACACAACATATATGTTAGAATAGTATATTATTAGTTGGGTTATTATTCGATTGTAATTATTCTATACCTTGGGGCTCCCTTGTAATTATTAATCTTATTAATATAAAAATGGGATGATATCACAATCATTCACTAATCCAATTCAATTATCCAAACCTACATGGTATCAAAGCCAACTCACCTCATTCTCTGTTAGTCACCCCAACCTCAGCAGACCACCTTCTCCCATCACCCAACACCAGTCGGCGCCTCTTCTCTATTTTCCGACCTACCTTGGCTGATTTTAGGCAACACCCATGTCGTTCTAGGGGTCACGGCTCACTCGCAGTGCTTGGCTAAAATTTCTGACTCACCCTCTGTTCTCCTCTAGGCCTGTCAGTAGCCCTAGATTACTCTTCTAGGGATGTCGACCCTCCTGGCCATCCCGTAGCACCCTTTCGGTCAACTCCTTGCCGACTGCGACTCTCTGTGTATCGACTAGTATAACCCTGATGAGCTACCCTCTCGTTGTTTAGTATATACTGTAACCTTATTCTTTGTTTTTTGAAAAAAATTATTAAAAAAAAATGGAATAAAGTGAAAAAAAAAATGCAGTAAAGTGAAAGAAAAAAAAAATGTTGATGATTTTTTAATTCTTTAATTTTCTTCGTGGTCATTGTGCTTGTGTTCCTCCACCTTCCGAGTTTGTGAATGGCACTAGTTTTGTTGAGGGTTCACAATATCTATGGTAGATTCCACCAGTGAGTGCACTACTTCTCAAACACCTAGGAGTGAGAGCTCCATTATACCTACTACTATGACTGATAACCCCAACCGTAGTCTTAAAATCACCACCTCTCCATTTAATGGTCAGAACTATCTAGCGTGGTAGCAGAGTTTGATTATTTTTTTTTAAAAGCAGAAAAAAGATGGGGTATGTTGATGGCAGGATACAGGCATCCAACACCACTGACTCGGGTTATAACCAATGGGAGATTACGAACTCTTTGATTATAGGTTGGCTGATTCATTTGATGGTGCTAGAAATTGGTGAGGGCTACTTGTCTATGGAGACTGCCCAAGATATTAGGGATGCTGTGACTACCACCTCCTCTTGCAAAGGGAATTTCTCACAGGCATTTAAGTTATGCCGCTCTATTGATAGCTCTATTCAGGGGGAGCAGACTGTTCTTTAGTACTTCACCTTTCTCACCAATGGCTGGAAACGCCTTGATCACCTGCAGGACTATAAGCCTATTTACACTGCTTATTCAGTCAAGTACCGGAAGTTCATTGCACAAGAAATGGTCTTCAAGTTTCTGGCAGATCTCAATGTGGAGTATGATTCGATTCGGAGTCGAGTGCTGGGTATGGACACCCTTCCATCACTTCAGGAGTCATTCGCCCATGTACAGAATACGGAGTCGCCAGTCTATTATGACGTCATCTGTTTCTACTGACCACTCCACATTACTGTCTACCCCTAAAGATGGCCTCTGCCTAACTCCCATCCCTCCGTCTGCCGCCAAGGAGTCTGTACTCTGTGATTACTGTCGCAAGCCACGACATACTCGTGAGACGTGTTGGAAGCTTCATGGGACTCCATCTGAGGGTCGAGGTGATCGGTCTGGTTCTCGAGGTCGATTAGGCCAATCTAGAGGACGTAGCTCTCATCTATGGGCCCATTAGTCTAGTGCCGTTGATACACTTGATTCTATTTTCGCTTCCGTTGGCTAGAATTCTGATGGTCTCTCTGGCATGGCTACTCCTGAGCTTGAGGATATTCTGCGTCACTTACTAGACTGCCGGTCTTCTACTGCTCTCAGTACATCTTCCTTGTCGTTTGCCTGCTCAAGTAACTTAGCATGTTCTCCTCATATTTTCCTTTTTCATAAGTCTTTGCCCTAGACTATTGATTTTGGTGTCTCAGATCATATGTCTGGATCCTCTGACCTTTTCTCTGCCTATAAGTCGTTTTCAGGTCAAGACAAAGTTAGGATTACAGATGGTACTGTTTTTCTATTTCTGGGAAAGGTTTAGTCCATGCACTCCTACCATACCTCTAACTTCTGTTCTCCATGTCCCCAATGTTTTTGTTAACCTGTTATCCTTGAGTCGTATTACAAAGGATTTGAATTGTAGTGTGACTTTTTTTCCTGATCATTGTCTATTTCAAAACCTTGTCACGAGGAGGACAATTGGCAATGGGAGTGTCGAAAATGGTCTCTACTTCCTGGATCAACCGAAGAAGCTTGCTCATTCTTCAACCATGAGTCCTACTACGAAAGCTGATTTATGGCTATGGCATCGGCGTCTTGAGCATCCATCTTTTTATTTACTTAAGCATTTATTTCTCTCTGTTTTTGCAAACAATAATGTGTCGGAGTTTCTTTGTGAGTCTTGTCAACTTGGAAAACAACACAGAGCTTCTTTTGATCCCAGTTTTAATAAAAGTTTAGTTCCTTTTTTATTAATACATTCTGACGTCGGGGTTCCATCTCGTGTTATGTCTGTGAAAGGTCATCAATGGTTTATTATATTTATTGATGATTTTTCTCGCACTACTTGAGTGTATCTCATGAAAGACAAGAGTGAGATTTTCTCTGTGTTCCGCAATTTTCATAAGATGATTTGTACTCAATTTGAGGCCATTGTCAAAATCTTCCGTTCTGATAATGGGGGTGAATACATGGATTCTGGGTTAGGACAATATTTTTCTGCTCATGGCATTATCCAGCAGACCTCTTGCACCAATACCCCTCAACAAAATGGGGTGGCGGAACACAAGAATCGTCATCTTCTTGACATGACTCAGTGCATATGTTTTTCTATGAGTGTGCCTCGGTCTTACTGGGGCGACGCTATTTTCAACGTTGTCCATCTTATTAATCGTCTTCCTACACAAGTCTTACAAAAACAAGCTACCCTTCAAGTTCTTCTAGGTTCCGAGTCTTTATTTTCTATTCCTCCCTAAATATTCAATTGTGTCTGTTTTGTCCACAATTACTCTCTTACTCGTGGTAAGTTGGACCCTCGCCCTCTCAAATGTGTTTTTCTTGGGTACTCTCCTACTCAAAAAGGGTGTAAGTGTTATCACCCTCCTTCTCGGAAGTGGTTTGTCTATATAGATGTCACATTCTTTGAGTCCCAGTCCTATTTCTTGTCCTCTCTGGTGGCACAGTCCTCCCTTTCAGGGAAACCTTGGTGTGAAGTGATGCCTGTGATTTCTATGGTGGAACCGTTTGTTCTTGCACCACCACCTCTTACTGAGACTACAGAACCCAACATCCCCAAGAATAAGAAAAGACAAGTTTATGTCAGGGACCAGTGCTATGAAAGGCGCACCTAGTCGCACGGCGCAGCGAGGCGTAGGTGCAGCGCCTGAAACAACCCAAGGCAAGGCAAGTTAAAGGTGGCGCGCGCCTTTTGCACGACTTGGCCAGGCGAACAAAGGTGCAAGTCGTGTGACTGTTTGTGACTTGTTCTTTTTTGGTTTATAATTAAATCTAACGGTTGATATCGTGTTTTTAAAAGCCTCAATCACAGAGGATTAGAACTCTGAGCTATACTACTCAATAGCCAGTCCCAAATCGATTCGAAATGCCCTAATCAATTCGAAAGAAAGAAGAAATCTTGAGGTGTCCTCTTTCCTTCGGCTCGTCTAGTCCCGTCTCTAGCCCAGGTGAGTTCTTTTGCTTCTTCCTCTTCTCCTTCT